TCGGTCATTTAATCCAATCAGGGAACTGCCCCCGGCCTTCGACTCCACCTACGGAAGCCTCTTCTGCGAGGCCAGGGCATCTTTCAGTGAGGGAAGACAAATAAAGGAAGCAGAGGATCACAACGAGGAAATAAACATATAAAACGCCACGACGGCTCAAAAATAGAGGACAAACCATTCGCAGGCTTCGCAGCAATAGATACAAGCGATGGTCTTAACATGAATTCCAGGATAGCTAAGAGAGCTTCCACATTCACAGCGCAAGCATTAGAATTTGATAAGACACTAGAAGTCATCGACAAATCTGACTTGGAGCAAAATTTTGTCATTTTCTCGGACCCGGAAAGCAAGCGTAAAGGCATCAGTAACTCCTCTACATTAAGCAACACATTGCACCTCACGCAAATGCTTAAAGATAAAATAGAGAGACTGGAATCGCGAGGCAAAACCATCCAACTTTACTGCACAGCCCCACAGCTGTATACCATATGGCCATGTAGGATTCCTTATGCGCTTACATAGAAGAAGTTTTTCTTTCTATGGATACCTCGGATTCACGGCCCAAAAGCCAGGACATTTCTCGTAGTTTTAAATTTTGTTTTGACGCGCTTCTGCGATGTGAGATTTTGGTCGAGGTATAATCCCAAGTATTTTACTTCGGTTTGAACCGGTATTTCCATATTATTGATGGTAACCTGCGGACAAGTTATACATTTTGTGGTGAATGTAACTTTCACTGATTTTGTCAGGTTTATTTTGATTTTCCATTTGCTGTACCATTGCTGGAGGAGGTTGAATTGATGTTGAAGATGCTACTATTGGCAGTAGTACCAACAGGTGTGGCAACTTATTTGGGTCTGTTGGTCAGTACGTCTGTTCTCCAGTGCTGAGATATTTATAGTTTTGTCTATTTATGGCGTGTAAGAGATTTCGTCCTTTTGGTGTTATAAGTCTCGCTCCAAGTTCCTTATGTTTAGCGTTCCAGTCTCCACCTGTCAGGAATTTAGATCCCAGTGACTGGAAGAGCGCTATATACTCTTCTGCAGATATAGCGTGTCTGGGAGGACAGTAGATCCCA